GTGCATATCATATGATACCACTAGAACGATTTGTTGATCCCATGGAGCATTTTGAAGTCGATCAAGAGTATTCGTATGTACCGGTGAATCAAGATAAAGCAACACGTGGAATGTTGTTAACAATGGGTAGGCGAATAAATACTTAAAATCTTGTTGTGTTTCAAACGTTTTATTTGGTTTTTTAGGAGATCAAACGCACTGCATTGCAAAACTTCAGCAGGCTTTATGTGCAGTACGCTATGTTAATGATCCGTCAAATGAAAAAATTGTTTATAATTTAGAAGGGCGTAAGCAATTACTTTCATATCGTTATTATGTGGGTCATGTTTTATGTAAATTTACATATGTGTTGGTTACTTTAGGAAATGAACAAGCACATTTACAGGTTCCATCGACTGAATCACCGATATTGGTTGATCTTTCTAACGGCCAATTGGAGAAACGTGATAGTGATCGAACACCGGAACAAAGTAATTTTCATCGGCTTGTATCCTGTTTTTATTCATATTTTTCAGTTAATTTTTAGTAAATCTGCAAGAAGAAACATCTAATTCGTCGAATACGGCGGTCACTCCTATGAGTTTGCTAGATGATGGTGAGGAGAAAGAGGTTCTTACTATGTTATATTTTTTCTGTCTTCTTTTGGTATGTTGTAGATGAACCAGTCGTATATTCACCGCCAATCTTATCCTTTCCAGCAACAAAAACGAAAGCAAAATTAAATGAAACACAAACATTACAATTATCCGGAGATGATGAAGAAACAACCGTTAATGACACTGCAAGTAATTATAATCAACTATTAAAACGCTATATGGATCTCCGAGATGATTACGATAAATTAAAAGATGGTGTTGAAGCATTAAGAGAATCAACTGTTGGTAAGTATCTTTATTATTCTTTAGTAAGAAGACTCTAGATGTTTTGAGAACAAGTATAAAAATGGGTTCTCTTTGTTTTTTGAGCTCGTCCACCAGAAAAAGTACTTGAGTACTATCAATTAGTTGTGTCAGCATGTGAATTAAAACCGGTATCTGATCAAGCAATACGTGTATATTCACATGTTCTTGGTTTAACAGTCTCAGCAGTGAAGAGTTTAATCAGCAAAAATGCGAGTGCAACAGCAAAAAAATTGTTTAACGCATTATATCCAGATAAAGACCAAGTTATCAAAGTGTCTGCATCGTCGATATCCGAAGCAGTCCGTGGTGCAATCTATGGTACACACTTATTCACACCCAGTGTTTCTTATAATTATTGAAAATTATATTGATTTCTATTCCAGGTATCGTTAAAAGTTTTCATCCGTTAGAAATGCCAACAGAAACCCATGTGAATGAATATTTGAATAATGTTTATCGTACTAGTAGATATCAAAAAAGAAAACGTGAAGCAACAGCAATCGAAAGTGAACAACAGAATACACGGGTAAAAATTCATCGAGCTCAACAATTAGGTGTACATTTAAAAGAAAGTGGCGGTAATATTGAAAATGGAAGTGATGCTAGTGGCTCAATAAATTAGAAAGAAGAAAGTTTAGATGGAACGGATTATAAAGGACAAACATGATAGTTCAATCTCTTTTTCTGTTATTCTNATTGGCCTTTGAATGTTTGGCAGGTGTTGTTTAGATAATGTTTCTATAGAATATATAACCTGTGTGCAAGTACCGAATGTATTTTAGGTACCACCATTTCGGAATAGTTAAATTTTTTTGACTTATATAATATGGATCGTTCTACGAGATATCGACATAGAGAAAGGATAAAACAGGGTCTTCTGACAGATAGACGACTACGTTTGTCCATACCTTATATACGTAAATCTAGACGAAAACAATATAAACGAAATGATGAAACTAATTCCACATTGGCAACTGTTGATCAAACAAAAAACATTTTAACTGAAGAAAATGATTGGATTAACAATGATGGTAAATTAGCGAAAATGATTATAAGCTACTCATATGTCGTTCATTCTCTTGTTTTATAAAGTAATGAACGATGCACAAGCTGATGTATGCGACACCGGTCCTTCTATTGAAATGAATGATATAATAAGTGAATTTGTGCCGAACATAGATGAGTTAGTTGTAAATTCTCTGCGTTAGAAAACGCATGAGTTAACTCTGTTTTTTATCTTCTTAGAGCACAAGATCAAAATCGTTGTCTAACCGAGTCAGAATTGGCAACAGTGCTAATAATGTTCAAAATTAAATTCAATGTATCTCGAGAATGTGTAGTGTTTATTTTATGGCTATTACGTCGATGTAGTGTACCAAACGTACCTCGATCATATCATACGTTAGTCAATATATTACGGAGAACATCAAACGTGCCAATGAGAACAACATCATGTACATTTTGTGAAGAATGTCAAAATATTTCAAGATCAACAGACCATTGTGAAAACAATACATGCAGCCAGTTTACAGCCTACTCGGTACCACAAAAACTGGGATTTTTGGAATTTGAAATCGAACGTCAAATAAGATATATACTTGAACGGGAATCAAATATACAATTAAAAACGAAACAAAACACGAATAGTCTACACGTACAAGATATTTGTGATGGAAAATATTATCAACGAATTTTGAATATTGAAAAAGACTATCCGTTTATTACATTGAGTATTAATGTTGATGGAATTGCTATTGACAATAGTAGGGAAGTATCAATATGGGTGTTCACATTCGTCATAAATGAAATTGAACGACGTCATCGATTTAGATTGAATAATGCCATTATTGGTGGCGTTTATCCGGGAGACAAGAAGCCTAATCGGTTAAAAATGGCCGGCATGATCAAATGCTTATCGTATCAATTAAAGCATTTGGAAAAACCGTCACCATATGTACTGAAATGTGAACAAGGTGAAATCAGAAATATCAGTGTGTTTTTGATACTGGCGTCGTGTGACAAACCAGCTGTTAGTTTAGTACAAAATAGACCAGAACCACATGCGGCATTCGGATGTATACATTGTGAAGAAGAAGGTATGTTACTGCGACAAGAGGGCTGCTAGATACTATGCCGCTTACTGCTTTTAGGTATAACGATCCGAAGTAATGATAAAACAAATCATTGTAAACGTGTATTTCCACCCGTCTCACCATTTTATCCTCAGCCACATCTTCGTTCAAATGAAGCTTATGATAAAGCGATCCATTCGATTGAGAATAAAGCTCCGAATGATTTAAAAACAAATAAGCAAATTGCTGTGTTTGCACGAAAACTTCGTGGTTATCTTGGTTACGTGCATTTCCGTGAATTAAAATATTTCAAAATTGGTGTATCATTTATCTTTGATAGTCTTCATACGTTGTATCAAGGATGTTTCGTATGTAAACTTTAAATTATTTATTAAGATAACTGCTGTAGAGAATACCGGAGCAGATAGAAATAGGTTATTTCTAAGTATAGGACTAGTTAATAATGCCTTTTTTCATTATTAGCGTCTTTTATTGCGCCTTTGGCTTGATAAACGTTATAAGAATGAAAAGTTTTCATGTGTCAAACATCTTCGAACATTGACGAATCGCCTCAATTCATTCACGTATCCATCCACAACGTATCGCTATCCTCGCCCACTTTATAAATGGCCAAAATATAAAGCAAACGAACTTCGTTCCTTGCTTCTAGTTGGGTTTGTTATTTTCGATGGTATACTGGATCATACATACTATACACATCTCTTAACGTTAGTCATAGCTTCTCATTTATGTGAATCAAGATCAACTGAAGAACATTATGTTGGTGATATTACACTATTGATGAACCATTTTGTTTATTTATTTCCAAAACTGTATGGAACAAAATATCATGTACAAAATGTTCATTCGACCGGGCATATGGATGGGACCGTTGATCAATTTGGACCATTTCAGAACTGTTCAACATTTGGTTTTGAAAGTCTGTTGGGTAAGAGTACACTTGTTACAGTGTTATCTGGCTATATCGTCTTATTTGTCTAAGAGATTAGAAGAAAGAGAAAGAAATTTCTGCTCTAGACAAATATTTGGTAGCAAATGTACAGAAAAAGTGCTGTTATACTCTCTTGATTCCATACTCTTTTATTCAGGGATTATAACGGCAACTGTCATGGGGACAAAAAATTTTGGACAAGAATTAATGAATACAATTACCAACATTCAACTAGCTGAACGACAATTATATGAAACATCATTTGATAGCCGTACTAGAAATATTTTATCATCGTTATTCTCGAAATATCGAATGACATTCACCCAGCAAATTGATAGTGATTCATACAGGATGATAAAAAAAATAACAAATGTTGATCAAGCACGGCGCATAATAGCTGTAACGTATTTTCAAGCACAAGATGTTGATTACTTTTCATCAATCATTATCCGGAAAATAAAATTTTCCATCCATTGTTCTAAACAATGTAGAAAGACAAACGATGGTATTGTATTGTTAAAATTACCACAACAATTTTCGTCATGTACACAAGTAGCACTAATCGAAGAAATAATCAAAGTGAAAAACGAGATCTTTTTGGCTGTCCAATTA